GAACGGGGCTGTGTCTGTAACACCTTCCCTCCTGCTGTGAACTCATCTCAGGAGCGCTTAGGTTGGTGAAAGACTGTTTTTGGGATGATGGGCGTTTTCAGCTCCCACTGAGAGAGCTGGGGCCATCGCAGATCAGACGCCTGGCAGAGAAAATCACGTGTTCATTTAAGGGCCAACTCGAGACCCCTTAAAGGGCCCGGATTTTCATAGGGTGGACGTGCTGCACTTTCCAAAAAGTCTCTTTAAAGTGTCTCGGGCGCTGGTGCTTTGTCAGTTACTCTGAAAAACGTAGACTTCAGAGGTTAAGGGACCCGGGGCCAGATCCCTGGCGGGTGTGAACCAGCGTGACTCCACTGACTCTGGTTCACAGCCGCTCAGTGTCGGCAATCCTCGGGGGTTTCACAGGGAGGCGTGTGCCGTCTTAAATCACCAGTCGCCTGAGTCATGGGATTCTGTGAGCTCAGCTTTTGTTTTGGTTTGGGTTTTTTAAAGCATGTTTCTAGTCTTCACGGTGGCAGAGAAAATGTGACCTGCAAAACCAGAATCCAAAATATATTCTATACACAAAGCTCATAATTTCTGTTAAGCCGATCTTGCAATTTGTTTGTTTGGTTTTATGGTACCAGCGTCATGCTGTTTGAACCCTTTGAGTTTAGCACGACTGGAAAAAAATTGAGTGGCAGGTGGGGCGTAGCTCCCAGGAGCTAACTGAGCCTGACCTCAACTCCACCTCTTTTCCTAGGGTCTAGTGTTTTTAAGCGCAGTGGAGTCCAACTGGGTTGGCTTGTCGGTGTTCGCACGCTATAAATGTCCAATAATAATCAACAGACCTAGCGTTTATATAGTGCGTTTGATCAATAGATCTCAACACACTTTACAATGGAGGTCGGTCAATCGCATTATCCCTGTTAAATAGATGGGGAAACTGAGGCAAAGAAGTGGCCTCACGGTCTGCTCACGTGAGCGACTGCTCACGGTCACCCGGGAAGCCAGGGGAAGAACTGGGGTTAAAACCCAGGTCTCTTGAATCCCACGTCAATGTTTTATCCACTAGGCAACACTGCCGCCCATAACAAAACATATGCTCCATGCGTAGGGTATGAATAATTAGCTCCACTATTGCAAAGAGACAATTATATAAGGAATTGTGTAATTACACACCTATGCTTCGTTAAGCTGTTGCGTGACCCCTGCGATACAGCCAAAATGCCGATGTATACCCGGCCCTTTTCAAACATTACTCAACGTCTTGGCTGGCTCTCTCTTAAAACCGCTTGGGTCTGTTTGCCTCTTTTGCTCCTTTGTCCTGCTGGCTGGCTCGTGCGGGCTGTGGGTGAACATTATGTAAGCTGTGTACTGTGTGCCTAGTTCAATAAAACTCATTTTATAACGCCAGGTCGTTTTTCTCCGTCACCTGTGCTGCAGAATCGCAAGCTCATTGATTTAAGCGGGGGGAAGACAGGTCACCATGGGGGCAAATATAACCGATCGGCTTCTGCAAGGTGGTAGATTGAATCATGCACCTCCTAGTGATGCTGGTAGAGTGGTCCCATGTTTTAAAAAATAGGATTCATTCACTGTATAGTGAACCTGGTTGATTAATGAAGATGTGCTATGGGATGCGAAGCCAGAGGATGTTACTGAGTCAGATAGGCTCATATTTGTGAATCACAATAGCAGACAAATGACCTCTTTTTTATACTCATTGTAAAGTTAATCGGTGGAACTCACGGCCGCAGGATACTGTTGAGGGAAACAGGTGACATGATAGGACGCTGTACTCTTCTAGACCATTGCTGGAATAATAATAATAACCTAGTTCTTTTCATCCGTAGCTCTCAACATCTTTTACAAAGGGGGCTGGGATCAGTAGCACCGTTGTCCAGATGGGGAAACCGAGTCACAGAACAGTGAAATGATTTGTCCCAGCCAGCAGAGCTAGGACTAGAATCCATGTCTGTAGAATAACATCATACTTTTTATAAAGGAAGGCTAATGACAGATGTTCTTATTGCTAGGATAGTCTAACTCCTCTATTAAAAACAAATCTGGCCGACCTCCTGGCCTCATTAATGTCCGGTGGGGCTGAAGCTGGGATCGACGTGCCCAGGTTGTGTGGGGCGAATTGGGCAGGACATAATTTTCTCCTCAACGAATATTTTTGAGAGTTTGAAATCTCCCTCCCCCGCCCCCTCAAATCAGGATGAAAAGTCGAAATCTCAAACAAATCTTTGCAAACTGAAAAAAACAAACAACCCCCCCCCCAAACCTGCTGACTTGTGTGTGTTGTTTTGGGCTGATCAAACCCGTTTAATCATTTCAAAACACTTGGACTTCTTTGTTTTTTGGGTCTAATCTGCTTCAATTTGGAAAGGAAACCAGGAAACCCGGGCTGGTTCCCATAGACAATGTCAAAATGTTTAGCCGAGCTCAAAATCCTCCCCACCCCCCCAACCCTGACACTTTTATTTGAGTCAGGAAATCCGTCAAACCCGACCCTGCCTTACCAATTGTTTGGACCAATCGGCATTTTTCAATGGGGGAAAAAACCAATTTGTCAAAAAAGTCCCATCCAGCTCTGCTCACTGGAGCCTCGGCCGGAAGCCCAAAGCCCTTGAGAGGTCAGCTTCCCACCGCACACCCAGGGGGTGCCAGGGTGGGCAGAGATGGCCCCATAGGACTCCCTTCTTGTGTGGGGCTGGTCCATGTGTCTTCTCCCATCCCCTGCATACAGCCCTATATCTATTCACCGCTTCCCCAAGGGCTGGTGGGCAGCAGAACATGAGTTAGAACCTGGACTGGCTGAAACTTTTCCTTCTCAACATAGGGGAACACCAGAGTGCATCATGGGAAATGTAGTCCTCCCGGGAAGGCTGGCCTATGGAGGAGATGGGGCCCATGAGCCACCTGAACTACAACTCCCATGAGGCACTCCTGACTCAATATATTTCTGGTTTTGATCCCCTCCTCCCCAAAATCACACTTTTCTGTGGGAAAATTTGGATGACACATTTCACACCCGCCCCTCCCCTTGTCAAATTTTCACCAGGGGAGTGGGGGGGAAAAGTCCATCTCTAGTTAGAGCAGCCCCAAGGCTGCTCTGAGATACACGGAGCCCAGAACACAGGCAGTGCAAAGAAGTCTTTAACCCAGCTTCACCCTGCCAAAGGTTTGAAAAGCTCTGTGCGACGTCCCAGGTGACTACTAGACCCACGTCTGCTTTGAAAAGGCGGCTGGGCCTCACTGCGGACGCTCGGGGAGCTGGTGTCGCTCCCGGACGAGCGGACAAATCTCAGCCCGGGAGTCTAGAGCAGTTGGACTCGCTGGGCAGAGCTCATGGTGGGAAGCAGGGGGGGCTGGCACCGAAGGGGGATCCCCCAAGGGATGGTTTCAGAGTTGGGGGTGCAAGACCGCTCCTGTGGCCTCACTGAGCCTGGCTGACGGGCGTTATGGGGCTTTTCCCTGCACAGCCCTTCAGGAAAACCCACCGAGTGGGATGCGAGCTGGCGAAAGGTAGGTCCCTTTATTGGGGAGCGAAGGGGGGCAGCAGCCGGGGGGGGCCGGGAGGCAGGGCTCAGCGGGGAAGGAGGCAGAACTGGTAGGGCCGCGGGATGCTCCCCAGGCCTCTGGACTCGGGCGTGATGTCGATCTCGGCGGGCGCCACCAGGGTCCGGAGGGTGAAGTTCTGCAGGATGGCGGTGAGGAAGATGAACAGCTCCATGAGGGCCAAGCTCTCGCCCAAGCAGACCCGCTTCCCTGCAAGGGAGAGAGGCCGAGGCGCTGGGGAAACGGAGCCGGCCTGCCCGGCCTCGCCCCAGCCCCAGCTGCCCGCCTCCCCGCCGCTCAGCGACAGCTGCGAGCCCTGCCCTGGGGGAGTGTCCGCGTGGGGGAGCTGGCCCGGGAGGGTATCATGGGGAAATGTTCGGGGGTGCTGCAGGGTGGGGCCCTGCCAGCGGCGAGTTGTGGCGAGTCCCTGGGAGTTGCTAGGGCGACGCCGGCATCAGTTAGCGGGGGGGCAAGATCCCGCATGGTGACAGGAGGCTGCTCCTCAGAGCTATGGGAAAGGCGCTGTTTTCTACTGGTGAACAGAGTCACAGGTGGAACTGGGGAGAGAACCCAGGAGTCCGGGCTCCCAGCCCCCCTGCTCTAACCACTATCCCCCCCTCCCCTCCCAGAGCTGGGGAAAGAACCCAGGAGTCCTAGCTCCCAGCCCCCCCCACGCTCTAACCACCAGACCCCACTCCCCTCCCAGAGCCGGGGAGAGAACCCAGGAGTCCGGGCTCCCAGCCCCCCTGCTCTAACCACTAGACCCTTCTCCCCTCCCAGAGCCGGGGAGAGAACCCAGGAGTCCGGGCTGGGGGCCGCACTCTGCCCACAGCAATGGGAGAGGCTCCTGCTCTGCAGTGTCCTGGCGGTGCCCCCCGCCCGGCTCTGCCCCAGCGGCGCTACCTGCCGAGAAGGCCATGAAGGCGTCGTTTCTCCGGAAGCGCCCGTTCTCGTCCAGGAAGTGGGAGGGGTCGAAGCAGGTGGGGTTCTTGAACTGGGTGGGGTCGGCCTGGGCCGTGCACAGCAGCGGGATGATGTTCAAGTCCTGTGGAGCCAGCAGGGGGTGCAGCCATGAGACCCAGACATCCCGATATTAGGGGCTTTGTCTTGTAGAGGCAACTATCTCCCCTCCCCCCCACCTGACTTTTCACACTTGTGATCTGATCACTCTAGGCCGGGACGAGGGCTTGGAGATGGTCACGTGCCCTGTGGGGCTGGCTTCACCGCCCCAGGTCGGCTCGCTCCAGCACACGGCGCATCCTGCAGTCTGAGCCCTGCCACCAAGCCTACCGCAGGTGGGGCAGTGAAAGGGGGCGTGGCTAGTGAAAGGGGCGTGGTTGGGGTAGGGGGCGTGGCTAGCGAAAAGGGGTGTGATTGGAGAAGGGGGAGTGACTAGTGAAATGGGGTGTGATTGGAGAAGGGGGCGTGGCTAGTGAAAGGGGCGTGGTTGGAGAAGGGGGCATGGCTAATGAAAAGGGGGTGTGGGTGAAGAAGGGGGCGTGGCTACTGAAAAGGGCTGTGGTTGGGGGGCGTGGTGTGGCTAGTTAAAAGGGGTGTGGTTGAAGAAGGGGGTGTGATGAGTGAGGGAAGGGGTGTGGTTGGATAAGGGGGCGTGGTTAGTGAAACGGGGCGTGGTTGGAGAAGGGGCATGGCTAGTGAAAAGGGGCGTGGTTGGAGAAGGGGCATGGCTAGTGAAAAGGGGCGTGGTTGGGGGAAGGGATGGGGCTGCGTGCCCTCCCAGTGGGTGATTTCAGCCCGTGCAGCCATCCTTCCCCAGCGTAACTCAGAGCAGCCCCCGGGCTCCTGCGTGGGGCCCACCTACCTTGGGCAGCGTGTAGCCGCGGAACTGAATGTCCCGGGTGACGGTGTGGGGCACGCCCATGGGGACGATGTCCGCGAAGCGCTGGATCTCGTGGATGACGGCGTCGGTGTAGGGCATCCGGCTCCGGTCCTCCATGGAGGGGCTGCGGTGGGGACCGATCACCCGGTCGATCTCCTCGTGCAGCTTCTCTGGAGGGAAGGGGGCAGGGTCAGGCCGGCGCAGGGGCGGCACCCACCATAAAGCCCCCAGGGCCAGGAGCCTCACTGGTGTTGATCCACATCACTTCACTGCAGCCTGCGGAGACGTCAGCGGGGGAACCCGGCCTCCCCTGGACGCCAGCTCAGATCTGCCCCATTGACTCCCCCGGAGCTCGGGCTGGGGACATTTGACCAGCAACCCTCTTGGGGTGAGTTACGAACGTGAGCCCCTCCTGCCCCTGTCTGCCCCCCGCCTACGTTGGGATACTCCCGGCATCTGGGAATTCTTCACCCCCCTGCCCCGGGGCTACCTTCTATCTCAGGGTGTCGTAGTAAGATGCGGAGCCCGTATCTCAAGGTGGAGCTGACGGTCTCCGTCCCGGCGAAGAACAGGTTCACGGTGGTTTTCGACATCGTCTCGTCGTTAAAGTGTGTGTTGGGGTTGTGCTTTTCCTGCCGAGGAAGGGTGCGAGAACGTTTAGTGAGTGTGTGTGTGTGTGTGTGTGTGAGACACCACCACGTACTAGGATTCTCTCTGGGGTGTGTGACCCCATTGGGGGAGATTTCCTACAGTTAGGTGAAACTTTTCAGCTGCAACTTTTATTCGGCAAACAGGTCGCACGGAAGCACCCGGCCACTTTGCATCGATTTCGCCACGTTGGGCGTTAAAAGAACATTGGAGGGGGAAAGTCGCAACGTTTCGTTCGTTTTGGTTTGAAACGACTTTGTTTCAACATGTCCTTTAATTTTAGGAAGGAAAAAACATGTAAAGTGTTGAGATTGTCTCTTTCCTCACCCCCCACCCCCAATCCCTTTTTAAATCTACCAATTCTTTCAAATGAAGGGGGAAAGGGCCAGCAAACCCCAAAGAGTTTTTAATCCCCCCCTCAGCCCATCCAAAAAATAGTGTGGGAGCTTCATAACTCATGTCCCCCTGCGACTCCACTAAATTAGGAACGTAGAACTAGAAGGAACAATTAGGAACCTAAGTCCCCTGCTATGAAATTCACCCGCCTCTACTTCAAATCCAACCCACGTGAAATCATAGAATCATAGAAGATCAGGGTTGGAAGGGACCTCAGGCGGTATCTAGTCCAACCCCCTGCTCAAAGCAGGACCAATCTCCAGACAGATTTTTGCCCCTGGGGGAAAATGCATCCTGGCACCCTCTTTTGGCTGATCCGGTGAGAGGGTAACAGCTTACTACTGCCGCCAAAGAATGGGATTGCCCCCGGCGCTCAAGCGGTGGAATTCTGGGCTTTGGGGCCGGGTTCAAGGGGTGTGGCCAGCAGTCGCTAGTTTTCCGTGAGCAGCCCCCTTTTCGCTATTGTTCGGGCTGTGGCCAGCTCGGGGGGCTCTCCTGCCGGCCAGGACGGGCTACCTGCTGGATTTTGATGAGGAAGCAGTCGATGAAATCCCGCGGGTTGTTGGGATCCAGGAGCTCTTTATGCAGCTTCAGCTGCTCGCCGACGAAAGCGGCCAGCTTCAGGTAGTTCTTGTAGATTTGCCGGTGGGGCCCGGGGACGTGTCTCATGATCTTGGGGAACGTGAACAGCAACTGGAAAGAAGCCGGGGGGAGGGGATAGAACTGTTAGGGGCTCTGGTCTCCCGGGACACAGCCAGGGACCGTGTTCCCCTCTAGGGACAGCAGCGGTGTGTAGATCTCAGACCGGCCCTCGGCTTGAGGACTCATGATGACGGCTGGTCTGGCCAAATCTTGATGAAGGGCTTCTGGGCAGAATGGGCTGGGGCCCCTGGCTGGAGAAGCAGAGTAGGGGTCGGGTGGTCGTGCGACCATGCTACGGGGCATGAATGAGACTGGAATCCTGTATCCAGCCTGGGCTCCGCCCTGCAAACAAGACGTTGAGAAATTGGAGAGGGGTTCAGAGGAAGACGACTCGCGGGCGGTCTGGAAAACCTGCCTCGCAGCAAGAGGAAGTGCCATGTTTAGATTCTCCAAGAAGCATGGTCCATACGTACCTCCAGGGGGAGGAGATTTCGGACAGCCGAGGGGTCTCTAATCTAGCAACAAAGGCCGAGTGAGATCTAAAGGCTGGGGGCTGAAGGCAGAGAAATTTACACAGGAAATAAAGAGCAAACATTTAATTGTGAGGGCGATTAGCCCTGGGGATGGGCTGGTGTCTCTGTCATGGCAACCCTGAAAGACACGGGCTAGCTCATCCATCAGATATGGGCTGGATGCAGGAATTGTCAAGTGAGGTTCTCAGGGCTGTATGTCAAGGATCAGGGGGGAGCCGTGTTAGTCTGTATCTACAAAACCAACAAGGAGTCTGGTGGCACCTTAAAGACTAACAGATTTATTTGGGCATAAGCTTTCGTGGGTAAAAACCTCACTTCTTCAGATGCAATATGGTGTAATAGGGCTGTATGGTGGTCTAGGAGAGGATGCCCCCCCCGTTCCAAATCCTCTCTCACCTGCCCCCAGGTGGAGCTCATGAGTTTCCAGTTGCTGTTGATCAAGTTGAGCAGGGTGAGGAACTTCTCGTCGGTGTATTCGAAACGCTCCCCGAAGACCAGGGTGCAGATGATGTTGGAGCCGGCGCAGCTCAGGAAGAAAGTGGGGTCAAAGGGTTTGCCTAGAGGGGAGAGCGAGGGCCTGCTGTTAATCCCAGGCCTTGTGGCCTCAGCCGTCTCCAGGGATCTCAAAGCACCGTAAATTAATTTAGCCGCACTTTTCCCTGGCAAGCAGGGGTTCTCACTGCCTGTCAGATGGGGGAAACTGAGGCACAGAGCGGGGCACTGACCCAGCCCAGGTCACAGAATCAGTGGAATGGAATCCGGCGTTCCCGACTCCCTGCTCGACCCAGTAGATGACAAGCTGTACCCAGACACAGAACCCAGGAGTCCTAGGCACCTCCCCCTGCTCTAACCACTAGACCCCACGCCCCTCCCAAAGCCGGGATAGAACCCAGGCGTCCTGGCTCTCCCCCCCCCCCCGCACCAAAGAACCTAATTGGGTTTGTGCAGACTGGAGGCAGAGCCCTAGTGTTCGGATCAGGACGCAATGTTTGGATCCTGGATCTCTGGATATCCTGGTCACTGTGAACGGAGCCGAACCTTCTGTTTTCCGGAACTCGGACACCAGGTACTGGGCCTCCTCCTTGATCCGCTCCTCCATGCTCCGCTTCCCCATGCCGAAGTTCTTGAAGGTGGTGATGGCAAATCGGCGCAGCTGCCGCCACCGCTCCCCGGTGCCGTAGACAATCCCTGTGCCAAGGAAATTCAGTGCTGATCATTGCAAAAGTAACACACAGTGGACAACGTGATCCCAGCTCTCCATACACAACGATCGGGTCTCAATGGGTGTTACCGCGCAAGACAGAGATCTTGGCGGCACTGTGGAGAGTTCTCTGAAAACATCCACTCGATGTGCAGCAGCGTCAAAAAGGCAAACAGAATGCTGGGAAACATCAAGAAAGGGAGAGATAATAGGACAGAAAATATCAAGTTGCCTCTATATGAATCCATGGTACGTCCACAGCTTGAATACTGCGTGCAGATGTGGTCGTCCCATCTCCAAAAAGAGCTATTGGAATTGGAAAAGGTTCAGAGAAGGGCAGCAGAAATTCTTAGGGGCATGGAACGGCTGCCGTATGAGGAGAGATGAATCAGACCGGGACTGTTCAGCTTGGAAAAGAGACAACTAAGGCCAGGGGGGATATGCTAGAGGGCTATAAAATCATGACGGGTGTGGAGAAAGTGAATAGGGACGTGTTATTTACTCCTTCTCATAACAAGAACTGGGGCTGAAATAATTAATAAGCATCAGGTTTAAAACAAACAAAAGGAAGGACTTCTGCACCCAACACAGACAACCTGTGGAACTCCTTGCCAGGGGATGTGGTGACGTATAACTGGGCTCAAAAAAAGAACTGGATCAGTTCCTGGAGGATAGATCCATCAACAGCTATTAGCCAAGGTGGTCAGGGACACAACCCCATGCTCTGGGTGGCCCTAAACCGCTGACTGCCAGAAGCTGGGAGTGGACGCCAGGGGATGGGTCACTCGATAACTCCCTGTTCTGTTCATTCCCTCTGAAGCAGCTGGCACCGGCGGCTGTCAAAGACAGGATACTGGACTAGACGGAGCATTGGTCTGACCTAGCCTGGCCATTCTTATACACCACACACTAGACACCACTCCTTTCCGTGACCTGGGGAGAGAACCCAGGAGTCCTGGCTCCCGGCTCCAACTCACTGGACACCACTCCCCTCCCTGACCTGGGGAGAGAACCCAGGCTTCCTGACTCCCGGCCTCCCCCGCTCTAAGCACTAACGAGCGAGATCTCTCCTAGGAAGGGGAAATGGACGGGAATCGACCATGATCGCTGCCCCGGGGTTTCACACCCGTCCGCGGTACGATTCCAGACCCTGCAATACAGCCAGGGGGCCAGGAGACTGAGCCGTGTGTGCGTCCGTCCGCGCCTCACCGTTCCCGTGACTCCACATCTGCACTGCCGGGAAGTCTCCCCTGCCGCTGAACTCCTCGGCCTTATCGATCAGGGCTTCCTTCAGCACCTTGTACCCAGAGAGCACCACGCAGGGCCGGGAGCCCAGGTAAAAGGTGTAGATCGGGCCGTAGGTTTCGCTGAGCTGGAAGGAATAAAGGAAGGCGGCTGTTAACCCCCAGCTGCAAGGGTCAGTGCTCAGGGCGCGCGGCTGGGAGTCAGGACACCTGGGTTCTTGCCTTAACTCTGCCACTTAGGTGCTGTCCGACCTTCGACGAGTCATTTCCCCCTTCTGCTTCTCCTCCTACCCTGTGTCTGATCCGCCTGTGAACTCGCTGGGAGCAGGGCCTGCCTCTGATGCTGTTAGGGTGACCAGACGCCGGCAGCATTCGGCTTTTTTTTTTTTTTTCTCCGCTGGCGGACCCCCCTCCGCCATGTGTCCCGCTATTTTCTTCCTCTCATCTGGTCACCCTAGATGCTGTATCTGTGCAGTACTTGGTTTAGCTGTGTGGCTGGGCGCCAGGACTCCTGGGTTCTGTCCCCAGCTCTGGGAGGGAAGTGGGGTCTGGTGCTTAGAGCAGGGGGGGCTGGGAGTCAGGACTCCTGGGTTCTCTCCCCGGCTCTGGGAGGGGAGTGGGGTCTAGTGGGTGGAGTGGGGTGGGGCATTCTCAGAGTCTAGGCTCCCAGGTTCTCCTGTGATACTAATAATAATTCAAGCTGCGTGACAAAGAGAATTCCGTTTTTGAGACAAATTTCCAAAGTGACCAACGGTTTTTGTTTCGCTGAACTCCACGAGCGTTCGGCCCCCAAATGCCTGCGAGGCTCTGGGCCTAGACGCCCGCCTGAGGTCGCGTCCGGCCGCCCATACCTATGACGCTATGAAAAGCCACGTTTCTGACGGAAAACTTTCCTGCCCACTCGAACCATAATAACGAGCAAACCGAGGCACAACTCACCTTCCGCAGAGACTTTATCAGCTCCTTCACCTCCACCTGCAGCATGTTCCCCAGGAACGGGATGGGGGTGGGCCCGGGCGGCAGGTGGCTCCAGGTTTTCTTCTTCCGGGTCGAGAGGAGTAACAAGCACATGACGCATATCGCCAGGAGGATGCTGAGGATCCCACTGAAATCCATCCTGGAGCCGGCCTTTCTGCTCTGCTGCTCTTCGCGTTAGACCCTGGGTGAGGCTGGCGAGGCTTGTCTATATAGCCCCCCCCCGGGGCCTTGCTGATAACGCCCCTCTTTGCATCACAGCTCTGGGTAAATAATTGCAAACTCTGCTGGATGGCGAAATTTGGAATTTTCCCCTGGGGCCCCTTGTGCCATCCATGGTGACCACCTGGGACAGCTCTTCAGCGGGGGGCTTGAACCCACAACCTCGCTCGCAAGCCTCCGCTGACTGAGCCGAAGGAGCAAGACCCGCCGTGTCCTCTCCATGGTGGACTCGTTCGCCTCGGCTCCGGGCGAGGGAAGGACTCAGCGTGGGCTGACGTGTGTTTATATGGTGGGTGTCCATGGGCTGGGGCGTTATTCACCAATAAGGAATTCCGCCACACGAGCAGTTTATTCACTATGGGAGGACCAACCACCACCAACTCCTTCGGTGCGTCACTGGCTCGCTCTGTGCCTCAGTTTCCCCAGCTGTAAAATGGAGAGCATAGGCTCCCTCGTTTGTCTGTTCAGAATGAAATCTCTTTAGGTTGGAGTCTGGCTGTAGCTAAATGGCGTCTTGAACTCGGTTGGAATCCTTAGGCGCTATTGTAATTAAAGAAAAATAATAAAACACAGCGTGAGGCGCGGTCTGGTGAAAGAAATAACAAGATCTTTACAGACGGGGAAGTGGGACACAGAGAGATTCAAGGCTGGGGCAGAGATGACAGCCAAAGGCAGAGCTGCTGGGTCCTGAGCCAGTGTTAACCCCAAACCCGTCAGATCTCACCGCAGCTGATGCGTTTATTTGCCTGGTGTCACTGATAAAACATTTCATAGGAGGGAGGAGGGTAATTCTACTGCCAGACACCACCCCTTTCCCTTTCCCTTCCCCTTGCCCTCAAGTGGCTGGAGAGGACATGCAGTTATATTTTTAAAAAATGTTAAAAGGGAAAAAAGTGTTTTTTCTCCAATTTTTCTGACCTGTGAGTGAGCTGAAAAACCTCCATTCTTTGCACAACTCTGCTTAGACCCAAAGTGGGGTTTGGTTTAGCGGGGGGACCAAAAGTTTCAGAGCAAAAGTATTTTAGAAGCACACACGTCTGTCTTCCCTAAAGCTCTCCCTTCCCCAGACGGTAACCTGAGCAGGGCCACCCAGGGCATCGTGTGTCGCAGGCCGGGCCCCAAACTGGATCGGTCCCCACACTTGGCCCCTTTGACTTCCTGTTGACTCCCCACAGACTTCCCCAAGTTCTGCCTCAGCAACGTAACGACTGAGCAAAAACTGACTCCAGTCTTTAATATTGGGCTCATATTCAATTGTCTCCCAAACGCTGCGGGGGCTCAGGGTGGAGTTTGGGTTCCTGAGACCTCCCCATTGGTGAAGTCAATGGGAAGTCTGTGGGGAGTCAAAAAGATGTCAATGGGGAGTCAACAAGAAGTCAAAGGGGCCAAGGGGAAATCAATGGGATATCAACAGGAAGTCAATGTAGCCAATGGGAAGTCAATAAGAAGCCAACCAGAAGTCAATGGGGCCAATGGGGAAGTCAATGGGGCATCAACAGGAAGTGAACGGGACATCAATGGGATGTCGACAGGAAGTCAATGTAGCCACTAGGAAGTCAATAAGGAGCCAACAGGAAGTCAATGGGGCCAATGGGGAGTCAATGGGGCGTCAACAGGAAGTGAATGGGACATCAATGGGATGTCGACAGGAAGTGAATCAGGAAGCCAATGGGAAGTCCACCTGGAAGTCAGTGAGAGCTTGGGTTGGCTATGGGCCACAATATACCTCACAATGAGACCTCAGTCTTAGCTGGGTCCTCCAGGCACTACCGTAATACATATAATAGCAATAGTGTAATTAATACGGCTCTCACCCTTGAGCAATGTTTCCCTACTGAATCGCTGGCAGAGCAGGAGACGCCTGCTCCAGCCGAGGCAGGAATACAAAGGGATCCAGCGGGCGAAGCCGTAACCACAGTCGTCTGGGTGAGCGGCACAGCGGTTAATTATTACCTGTCCTGCCCCCGAGCAGATCGGGCAGCTCACCTGGCCGGAGCGGCTGAGCCCCATTCCGCCATGGAGCTGTCTGGAGTCCTCTCTCTGCTCCTGGGGGTCTGCGTCTCATGCCTCCTGTTGGTGGCCTCGTGGAGAAAGGCGCTGGCGAGGAGGAAGCTCCCCCCGGGTCCCACACCGCTTCCCTTCGTCGGGAACATCCTGCAGCTGGACACCAAGGCGTTGGCCAAATCAATCCTTAAGGTGAGTGACCATTACACAGGGCCAGACGTCACTTGGGAGGGAGCGGGGTCTAGTGGTTAGAGCCGGGGCGGGGGGGGGGGCTGGGGGACAGGACGCCTGGGTTCTCACCGCACTTGTGGGAGGAGAGTGGGGGCTGGTGGTTAGAGCGGGGGGCTGGGAGCCAGGACTCCTGGGTTCTATCCCTGGCTCTGGGAGGGGAGTGGGGTCTGGTGGGTTAGAGCAGGGGGGCTGGGAGCCAGGACTCCTGGGTTCTCTCCCCGGCTCTGGGAGGGGAATGGGGTCTAGTGGTTAGAGCAGGGGGGCTGGGAGCCAGGACTCCTGGGTTCTCTCCCCGGCTCTGGAAAGGGAGTGGGGTCTAGTGGTTAGAGCAGGGAGGCTTGGAGCCAGGACTCCTGGGTTCTCGCCCCAGCTCTGGGAGGGGAGTGGGGTCTGGTGGTTAGAGCAGGGGGCTGGGATCCAGGACTCCTGGGTTCTATCTCTGGCTCTGGGCGGGGAGTGGGGTCTAGAGGTTAGAGCCGAGAGTCAGAACTCCTGGGTTCCTCTCCTGGCTCTGGCAGGGTGGTGGGGTTTAGTGATCATTCCAAGTCACTTTGCCCCTCTCTTCCTCAGTTTCCCCAGCTGTCAAACTGACCAAACCACCCCCTTTGGGATTCTTTGCAGGGGTGGTTGCTTGTCTCAAGCGGTGGAAGTTTGGGCTTTCGGACCCCGAGGTTCCCCCTTCAGCCTCCCCAGGGGTGACCTAGGTGGGGGTTTTATCGCCTGATTGTGGACCGGACCCCCCCTCCCCCATGGCCATTCAGAGATTGTCTCTTACTACACCTCCATGGGGCCTGTGACCTCTGTGTTACCGTAATACACCTAATAGTGGTGACAATCCGTGCGAGGATCCGGCAGCTCTCCGTGTGACCCGTCCAATTCTCCCCACCGGGCTCCTGGAGGAAAGGAGCCGAGGCGTTTCCAGCCGGGAATGAAGGTGAAGAATGGGCCAGCGTGGCTAACGCAGCACGAGGCGGACCAAACCCCTCCAATAAATGGCACGGGCCGGGCACTGGTTCGCGGCTGGCGCGGACACGCAGGGGCCTGCCTTGGGCCCGGTAATGGCTGGAGGTTTGCTTTGCCTCTGGCAGTGCCGGGACTTCAGCCCCAGAGAGAGGCAGGCCCTGCCACTGGGAGCTCACAGGAAGGAGCCGTAGATTCCAAGGGACCCCATCGCGTCCGGCCCCCGATATCCCAGGCCGTAGATCTGCCCCCGCAGAATCCCTAGGGCAGATCTTTTAGAACAGCTGCCAGGCTCGACGTAAAGCCGCCAGGCCTGGAGAACACGCTGTGCCCGCTGGCAAAGGGTCCCCCTGGATAATTGCTTTCACGCTTCAAAATGTCCATCTTATTTCCAGTCTGAATTCCAGCTTCAGCTTCCAGCCTGTGGGTTGTGTCAGCCCTTCCTCGGCTCGCTCGTTGTTAACTATTTGCTCCCCATGTCGGTACCGAGAGACCAGGGTTTCCTGCTCTTTGCTAGGTTTTTGAATCCTCCGCTCATTCTCGCAGCTCTTCTCCGAGCCCCTCCAACTGATCAGCGTCTTTCTCGAATGGTGGGCACCGGAACTGGACACGGGATCCCGGCCGCGGTCGCACCGGGACCAAACACAGAGGGGAAATCACCTCTCTGCTCCCACCGGAGAATCCCCCGTGGATGTGTCCCAGGATCGCATGAGCCCTTTTGGCCCCAGCGTCGGGCGGGGAGCTCACGTTCCGCTGATTTTCCGCCCAGATCTTTCCCCGAGTCCCTGCTCCCCAGGAGAGAGCTCCCCAGCCGGTCCGCAAGGCCGACGATCTTGGTTCCTACATGTGAACGTTTACACTGAGCCATGTTAAAATTCAGAGTGCGCCCAGCTCCCCAGGCAATCCGCATTATTCTCCCTGTGCTACAGAGGGGGAAATGGAGGCCCAGGTAGGGAACGTGACTTGCCCAACATCACAGAGTCCAGGTCTAGCTTCAGAAGCGCGTGGCTCACACCCCCACCCAGCACGCCAAGTGCCGGTTTTGGAGAGCCGGCAGCTGGCACAGCTGCTGGGGGCCCTGCGGCAGCTCCCCCCCCACACTTCCTCGCTGTCTGTTTCAGTTCCGAGACACGTACGGCCCCGTGTTCACCCTGCAGCTGGGCTCGGAGCGGGCCGTGGTGCTGTGCGGCTACGCGGCGGTGAAGGAAGCCCTGGTCGACCGCGGGAAGGAGTTCGGGGGAAGGGGGAACATCGCCACAGCCGCGAGGATCACCAAAGGGTTTGGTGAGGAAAATGTTCCTTCCCGGGAGAACATGCCCATACTAGGCTGGTGTGAATCGCACGGGACAGATGGTCTAATAGCTAAAGCTGGGGGCCAGGACTCCTGGGTTCTATCCCCGGCTCTGGGAGGGGAGTGGGGGCTAGTGGTTAGATGAGGGGGAGGGGGCTAGGAATCAGAGCATCTGGACTCTATTTTCAGCTCTGTCATTGACTCCTTGTGTGACCTTGGACAGGTCACGCCGTGCCTCAGTTTCCCCAGTCTGTAAAACTGGGGTAATGTTAGTGGCCTCTTTCCCTGGGGAGATGCAACTCTTAGCTTTCATTTTATAAGGCTCTGCTGATGCTCCTCACGCCCGACCCGCAGCACCCCTGCTATCCCAGCCCTGCCCCCTCCCAGCTCTGCCAGTGCCCCTCAGTCCCGCCCTGCAGTGTCCCTCTGGTATCCTGTTACGGATCTACTTGAGCTTGTCTCTTGGCAATCCCTTCCTGAGCATCTCCCGGTCAACGGGGGGCACGTGGGTCTCTTTGTCCTGCTTCACCCTCCCTCCTCCCCCACCCTCCAGGAGTGATCTTCGCCAACGGGGAGCGGTGGCGGCAGCTGCGCCGGTTCTCCCTCACCACGCTGCGGAACTTCGGCATGGGGAAGCGATCCATCGAGGAGCGGATCCAGGAGGAGGCCCAGCGCCTGGTGGAGGAGCTCGGGAACACAAAGGGTAGGTGCTTCCTGTCTCACCCCCGTTCCAAGCGCCTCAGCCTGTTTGCTGCCTGTTCAGCTCTCTGCTCCGATTTCTCCTCGTGAGCCGGTGGAACTCACTGCCACAAGCTCAGAGGCTCGCGTGGCGAAGGAGACCAGCCGCCGGTCCATCAGCCAGGATTAAAGACAGCCAAGTTTAGAGCAAGACCAAGGGAGGACGGATGGGCTCTGGCCTCGAGTCAGAACGCCGCAGTCGGTTCCTGCCTCTGCCACAGGTTCCTGGTCTCTGCCTCTCTCTTGGCCTCATATCCCGACTATCTGCAATGCGGAAAGAACCCGTCCTTTGTCTGTTCGCACTAGGAGCTCTGTGTATCTGGGCAGTGCCCGGCCCGACGGGGCCCCGATCTCGGTTGGGGTCTGGGCAGCGCCCGGCCCGACGGGGCCCTGATCTCGGTTGGGGTCTGGGCAGCGCCCGGCATGATGGATCCGCATCTGTGATGGGGCCACTAGGCGCTACTGTAATACACCTAATAATAAGGATTAAGCTTTGGGCCATAAGCCAGCCGGATAGTCACCATGGGGTGGTAGAAGAAACCTCTGCAAGTTATTCCCGAATTGCCCAGCAGGGCACCTTCCACTCTTCCCCCTTCCTCTAGCCCAGTGACGCTCTGATCCCCGTGGTCAGGAGTCAAATTAGCGACCACTGTTACCCCAGAGAGTCACAGGCCTGCGAGTTAAGTGAACTGTCCAATCAGATGTCCGCAGCCTGACAGGCAGAAGGGTTCGTTTCGAGCTGTCTATATTAGTCGCACAGAAATCAGTTAAGAACTTCATGCAAGTTCATCACATCCGTGCTTACGAGCATAGTAGAAGTCTCCTGACTGGTTAATAACGTCGATCGGTGACTAATTGACTCACATGCGTGTTAATGTCACGGGCTGCAAGGAGACACGTTACGGAGCCTGGGTCGGGTATCGCGGCTCTAAAGCAGCTGGCGAAGGCTGCGGGCGGGGGGGGAGGGGAGTTTCTGGCCCTGACCCCCCAAGCTAGTCCATTGCCCGGCCCATGGGCTCCCCTGCCCTCGTCATGGTGCTGAAAGTCCCAGTATCATTCGCAGCAGGAATCCGCTTTCCTGGGCCCTGTAGAGCTCTCTCCCCTTCCCCCAGGCTCGCCCTTCGACCCCACCTTCCTCCTGGGCTCCGCCGTCTCCAACGTCATCTGCTCCATCGTCTTCGGCAGCCGCTTTGACTACCAGGACCAGGAGTTCCTCACTCTGCTGAGCTGCATCAACCAGAACCTCCGCCTGCTCAGCTCCCGCTGGGGCCAGGTGGGGGCGCTGCCCGGTGCCTGGGGGGGACCGAGGGAGGGAGGGACAGAGAGCTGGGGGTGTCTGGGCATGGACAGACGGATGGACAGAGAGATGGGTGGGCGGGTGTGGATGGGTGTATGGGGGTGTCTGGGGAAGGTGGGATGGGTGGATGGATGGAGGTGTGTCTGGGGAAGAAGGGATGGGTGGATGGATGGAGGGGGTGGATGGGGATGGCGGGATGGGTGGATGGATGGAGGGGTGTCTGGGGAAGGCGGGATG